ACCACGGAAGATATGAAAGTTACTCGGGTTACAGGTCGACAAATGACATAGTGTATGTTAAACTGGAATTGTTCAGAGGGCGTCTCACAGATCTAATTGACCGAATCAGGTATCGATCGATGATAACCACCCACGAGGAACACCGTCTATATTGGGCCAGCGGTACGATCGATGGACGATAAGAAACGCCAACCGGATCATTTCATTTGTCCATCTTGGAATGAACTTTATAAGGATGCCTTAAAGACAGCTCCCGCGATGAAAGTGATAGTTGCTTTTCAATTATGAAACAGTAGCTGATAAGTAATTCCCCAAAGAAAAAAAAAAGCAAGAAGAGTCCTCAAGAACACCATAAACAAAATCGCTCCCTGACAGTCACACCTCCTGCGGTCTCTGTGCAACCCCTGGCTCACAAATCCTTTATCACATCTCCCAGTAGTGGATATCATCCAATGCAAAGAAAAGAATACGAAAAACAACAAAAACACGGAAGAAAAACTCTTGAAAAGGAAAAGAAACTTTCAAAATTCGGCGGAGGGTTACGGTAGCGTGCATCTTTTAGTGTAGTGTAGTGCGTCGAGCTTTTGCACCACGAAAATTGGGTCGCTCGTGATTTTTACGCGTTTTACCTTGCGAGATGGGTTGGAGTTGACTGTATGTGCTCCCAATGAATAAAATGTAATAAAGGAGAGCAGAATTATTCATGGGCACGAGCGCGGTCAGCAAAAAGGACATGCAATTCCGATTAATGCCCGCCGCCCCAACAAAGAACAACTGAGCGGCCCTCCGTCAGAGGGCATCTAGCAAGTGGGCGGTCCAACTGGGCGGGCGTTAGAACTAGAACTTTCAGCGGTTGTAGCTCGCTTTCGCTCCACTGTGGAGTCGCGACAGTGAGACATGCTCTAAGCTTGGAGGCATTGTTACTACTTGCACGTGCAGAAGGCATCCATAGAATTTCTTCAGCGCGAGAGCTGTTCAAAGGGCCAACGCCGGCGACCACAGAGTGCGAGGTAACGGGAGCTCACATAACGAAGAAAAAGGCTAGTACGTAAGCTGTAATTAGTGGGTTAAAAGCAGCAGGAAAACAGGGCCGAAAATGCTTTAAAGAGGACTACATGCTGAGCCCAACTTGCACGCGCTAGCCATGAAGAAAACGCGTATTTGTTCGAATTTCCACTCGTCGTTATCATGTCTATATCAGCTCTTTTATTTTATCTCCTCACTCTTACCATTCGAAATGGAGAGAAATGTATAGCATAGCGGCTACTAGCTAGTACGCGGAGTGGGGGCGGCATGTTGGCCTAAAGGGTGCCCATGGACCTAATTGTCAGCTTTTAGCGGGCGGGTTCTTGCTTCGATTTTCACATTTTTGAGCGCGCGCTTCAGAATTGCCTTGCTGCGAATCGTCGACACATTTAAGCAAGTCATAAGTCTTGCCTTCATTAGGTGAAAGTGCCTAATTTGATTACCTTCACCCTTGACTTACTGCAAGCAAGATTGAGTGCTATCCAGAGTAAAGGAACAGGTTCTTGTGAGATTCACCCAAAAACCACCCAATCCTCTGAAGTTTTATTCTAATATGGTACTGTTACCGAAACCTATTTGTGTTATTTGCAATATACAAGTTTTATCACATAAATTAAAGTTAGGAGCATCACTAATAAGTGATTATCTGTTCAAAACGGAACCTGCTGCGCTTGATGTTAAATGCCTCCCCTGACAGTGTGGATTACAAAAGGTTTCGTAGATTTTTTTTCTCATTTGTGCTGACAAGGTGTTCTTCGCTCAAACCTTAGTTGTTCCCTGCGCTCAGACCCCTACCTCATCGCAAGCTCAGGACCTTTAAAGGCAGATGGCCACGAATAATTCGGTATTTTGTCTAAAACGGTGGCAGGGGTAAATAGTCGAATTACAGTATGAAGCGAAAAGATTGATGTGAAGCGGCTACATGGAGCTACTATGCCAGCGAGAAACTCGTTCGAAACGGCTTTCTTAGTCCTGTAAGGACAATGCTTTTTTGCAGGTCTTGACAGTTGCTCTTTGATTTTTTCTCATTTCCCCACAATGATGCGCCCGTGGTACCATTTTAGACCGAGTACCAAATTATCGTGGCTTGATGCCTTTTAAACCCGAAAATCCAGCGTTTTTTGGCCTCCTGTGTCAGGCTTCGTCTCAGGTTTTTTCGATACCCGTGCACTCCACAACTGAGGGGTGTGGCTGCGTCCTTCGTTGGGCTGTGCAGTACGATGCGTTCTCCGCGGGATATTTTTTATCGAGACAACTGTTATCCTGTCTTGTGCTGGACGAAGAGACTGCAAGTGACTTGAAACAAAAATATCCCACCTAAACGGCAGCCACCGCCATCTCAACTGAAATGAGCACCTAGGCCCTTCCCATCTCCAGGATATGGAGTGTAACTTGCGTCCACCCAAACCCATGCAATTGTGTTCATCATTTTCAATATTTTTTGTTTATGTGGCTTGAACAGATCAATTTTTTCCAAACTGGCTCAATAACTCAGTGAAATAAACTTTTATTCGTGGAGAAAACATGAAAGTTGCACTGAGGTTCCCATGTCAAGCAATTTTTTTCGCATTCGTCCGCTTTGTCTTTGTTTTCTTAGCTCGCCGTTTGGGACATTCGCAGTAATCCTTGTCGTTGCCAGCCATACCAGGCATACCTGGCTGCCCAGGAGCGCCATCAGGTCCATTCAAACCGAATGCACCCTTTTCTCCAGGTTCGCCCCTGGGGCCTTTTTCTCCAGGCACACCAGGGTTTCCTTCGGTTCCCGGCTTACCTGCTGGACCAGCTGGTCCTGCAGGTCCTTGACCTCCTGGTGGGCCGGGTAGAGCTTTAACTCCGTCTTTACCGTCTTCGCCATCACGTCCATCCAGTCCTGGATTACCTTGTGGGCCTGGATTTCCAACTGGTCCTTCACATCCAGCTTTACCGTCCATACCGGTCATGCCAGGCAGTCCTGGTAGGCCAGGCTTTCCAGGAGGACCTTCTGGTCCGTCAGGCCCCGGCAGTCCTGGTGGTCCGGCTGGACATCTCACACATCCCAGAGGTGGAGGCGGGCAATGTATTGGTGCGTAAACCGTGACGTCGTCCTTTCCTGGTGCTCCAGGTTGTCCAGGTATTCCTAAAAAGACCATTCATAGTTCTATTGGTAACCTTACTAAAGGAGCTCTTACCAGGCAGTCCAGCTGGTCCTGGAGGTCCAACAGGTCCTGGAGGACAATCGATTTTCATCGGTTCACAGATGCACCATGCTGGTAGCGAATGTTTCTTGGATCGGAATATGGAGGTGAACGGATTCCGGTGAGGTCTTGAGGGTGGCAACAATCGAGCATGTATGATCCTCATTTCGTTCCATGCCGAATCGGTCTCGAGACGAAATGCTGCTACTGTATCCATTACCTGAAAACCGCTATAAGCTCCTACTTCAGCGAAACTGTAAAGGACACTTACCAGGCCATGAATTTCGACGAGATCTCTGTAGAGACCAGGAAGTACGATGACACATGCGGTCAGGGCGGCTATGGAAGCTGCGGTAGCGGCAGTGACAAGCTGTTTCTCCACGGTCATAACGATGGCACTGACATATGACTCTCTGGCTAGACCTTAAATACGTGCTTAAACGTTTTGGTTTTTAATAAGCTTCATCTTTTTCCACCTTCCTCAATTGACAATAGATGGCAAAAGCTCGATTTGTGAGAAAAGCGATTTTTCCTGGAACCGCAACGTGTCAGCGAAAAACCTCCGAGAAATGACGCATAGCTCGCCTTTTTCCCTTTGGCTAGGCGTGACTGCAGGAATTTCACTTCTCTTGGTGTTCTATTGTTGTTTTATGTTTAATAGAAACATTACATAAAGCACAGGGCAGTATGTCGGTCCTGGCATGAGGGCGGGCTCAAGTTCACCAATGACTGGAGCTTCTACCACGATAAGGAGCCCGGCAAAACTGTGAGAGGGCAGAGAAGTTGTCAGGATATCTGTCAATCGCCAAGCCTTATACCTCTTTCCTATCCTTCCCTTCTTTCCCTCTCTTTCCTTTCTTTATATACTTCTCTCTTCCCTTTCCATTGTTCTCCTCCCCTGGAATGAAGATGCGGCAAGAAATACTTCTGGGCTGCCGCAGCGAGAGGACATTCGGTTCTGTAACCACGGTACAGCATCGTTGTGCGAAACACATGGGGGGGGGCGTACTTGCCGCTGGGGAGGGGGGGGGTCGTATTTGGTCGTTGTTGGGAGAGGGAGGTCGTATGTGCCTTTGAGAGAAATTTGCCGCGTTGGGAAAAAAATCCCCCTCCCCTAGTTGGTGACTCTGCCAAAGTTCTATTGAACTACTATTTCCGATAGTTGAAAATAGTAGTTGGTTGCTGACGACCTTCCCCCTCCCCCTCCGCTCGACGGAAAATGTTTGAAAATTTTTAGGGAAAAAGTAGCAAATTTTCGGGAAATTTCGGAGAAAACTGGTAGGAAGCTGGGAATATGTAGGAAAGTGGCAGGTAGAAGTTGGGGAAGAGAGGGCAGTCGTACCAAGACTTTTGTTTAGGGGGAGGGGTGTCGTGCTGACACCACCATTTCACACATCACAATGCTGTACCCTGCCTGTAACCCTTCTAACCCTGGTCCATGCAGAGCTCACCATCCGTTGTGTAGAACACATTGCGGTCTTGTT